CTCAGCAACCTCACCACTTGCAGTACGTTAAGTGCGTCAAATGCCCACGCCATTTCCCATCTCTGCATTCTCTTCATGTCTACAGATGCTATCACCGATGCAGCAACATGCCCAGAGTAGAAGAGGAAAAACGATACATTCCCCACCGGGAAATCCACTCCAGAACCCAAAAAATCCTTCCGACATATTACAAACACGCAATTTCAGTTACTGAATTGCGAAAAACAACAGAGCAAAATGGAAAAAGAAATAGCACTTTCATAAAAACTAAAAAAAATTTCCTAAAAAGTAGCACCATCGAAGCGGTGAAATTCGTTTTTCTTTAACTTATAACCAAAAACAAACAAAAAAAGTAAAATTCTCTCTCGGGAAATCCAACTAAGAAGTTGGCCTCCGGTGCAGCTGTATTTTTAATTAACAGTAAATAAAAGGCTATAATAAAATGAGATTATAATACTATGATGAGATCGTTGGTGAAATAAATAGGTTGCAGGAACCGAACCTCAGGGACAGGTAGCTGAGTAACGTATCCGAGAACGCCTCTGCATGTGAACATGAACAACGCCGATATCGTAGCCCTAGGCCGCCCTTCCACCAGCCACGTCCAGAGGATATACGCCGTTTGCATCCCCACAAACACCTATATATATATATTAGTACAATTTTGTGTTTAGAATAACATGGAAACTACTTTTTTTAACCAAGTAGGTAAAACATGCAGCAAAACTGTAGCTTGGAACAAAATGATGTACTTACTAACTTTTAGCATTCTGAACATCAAATTTACATTGAAATACTAATAAAAACCTGTATTTTCCACTGTTAAAACCGCAATGTTTGCATATATATATATATATATATATTTATGTAATCGGAGATCAAGAACACAGATCAATTGTAGGACTAGTAATTTTAACAACTACCGTGTTGAGGCCAGCAAGAAAATTGTTGAGGCCAGGCCTAGAGGCAAGCAAACGGTTAAGGGGCAGGGTAACAACGAAGCCCAGATCAAACGGCGGAGAAGACGCCGGGATCATGCGAAGGGTATACTCAACTCCCATGAAAAACAACATGCAGGCTGCGAATACACACGGTATAGGGTGGTACCGCACCACACCCAACACATCCTCCGCTTTCCATCTCATGAAATAAGCCTTCTCAAACAACCCACATTTGTCACTACAATTTATCTTACCGTTTTCCATACCGGACTTCTTCTTGATCATCAGGTTTACGTTGTCGTGGTCGTGGCAGCGGTGATCGTCTTTGGATTCTTTTACGGCGCCGTTGGAATGAGAAAAGCCGTTACGTTTATTAATGTGCTGGCGGTTCCTGGAACGGAGATGGGTTGCGTCTCCGTTCATTGGTGATGGAGTTGGCGTTGCAGGGTGAGAGAGATTACGGAAATGGGCAATTTGCAGGAGTGGTGGGTTGTTGAATACAATAAATACATGGGGAGATGCTTAGCAGACGGAGGACACGAGGAAAGCTTAGATTAAGGATCCCCACCCCACATCAGGAAATGGAAAAAAAAAAGTTTTTTTTTTTATCAGAGGTGATGGCTGTGATTTGGTCATTTGATGTTAATTTGATGGGGACTAATGCTGTTTGTGATGTAAAATGAAAAGTATTTGTAATAACTAATCCCCTTTGGTTGCCGACTTTTTGATTGGTCGAATTTTTTCTACAGGACAAATCAAAGTTAATAAATGACCGTTTTTGTCACATGGGAGCGCGCGATTGAGTTTCTTGCCTGATTAAGTGCCTGTTTGATAACATAAAAAAGTGCTGAAACTGAATTCATTCAGACATTCAGATGTTGTGGGTGTTTGATAAATAAAAATTCACCTGCTGAACTTATTAAGTGGTGCTGAATTTGTATGTATTTTTTTTAGCACAAGAATCGTAGCTGAATGCTTAATTTGATAAGAATCAAGAGATTTACTTCAACTACTTTATTTTATCTACCAAATATATCCCTGTTTGTTAATTACATTCAAAATCCTTATCTAATTAAACAACCTAATATTCCTTATTCAAAATCCTTATCTAATTAAACAAAACAACCTGATATTCTCTATTCAAAATTTTTTTTAACAATAGTATTTTTTTGCAGTAATTTTCATCCACAAACATTTATATTTTGATATATTTTTTTTTTGTACAGATAAATATTATTTATGTGATGCAGCTTATCCACACACACGTGGCTTTATGACACTATATCGAAATATTAGATATTGGTTGTCTGATTTTCGAAATGCTTCTCGTCCAAGATCAAAAGAAGAACGCTTTAACCAAGCACATGCAAGATTGAGAAATGTAATTGAACGTGCTTTTAGAGTATTAAAAGCTCGTTTTCCCATTCTCAAAACGATGAAACCATACCCTTTTCCCACACAAATAAACATTGTCATTGTATGCATTGCTCTTCACAATCATTGTCATTTTCATACCTAACAATTTTAAGTTAATTAAATCATAGGTTTTATTTCCTTTTTGGATTAAAAGATAGAAGGGCAAAATTGTACAATCTAGCTTATTAAGCATTAAATTATGAATATTTATCAAGCAGTATAAATAGATTCAGCATTAAGATTCAGACATTCATATATCTCTTTTCAGTGCTTAAAATTCAGCAAATTAATTATTTCAGTATTCAGTATTCAGAATTCAAAATTCAAAATTCAGATTCAGTGTTATCAAACGGAGCCTAAGACCGATATTGTGTTGTGATAGTACATGAAAGTCGATCATGGGAAGTGCTGATAATTACTCGATTACAAAATTAGTCGGATTACTTGTGGTACAACCTTAATATTTTTATACAATGGTGGGAATAACTCCAATTTTAAATCCACGCTTACTGTACAATTTTTCAATGTTAATAGAACAAAGTCATTAGCGTATTAAAGATGTACAAATTTAAGTTGTAGGAATAAGGATTTAACCTATCCTTTTTTTTTAACTTCTGTTAATTGTTGAAAATTACAATGCGAGGGCTCTAAAACAACATTCCTTGACATGTTCTTATTGCGGTCTTGTATACTTTGCATCCGAATGCAAGATTAAATCACGGAGTCAAGCATTGAGTAGTGGTGTGCCACTCTGCTATAGCACTAGAAGGGGAGTATGTGTGCGTGTGTATCTTTTTCTTCTTTATTTTTTTTTCTTTTTAGGAATATATACCAAAAACACAAGTTATCTTTTAAAAATGCATGCAACTTAAAAAAAAAACTCGAGCTCTTAAACTATCACAATTGTCTACTTTTGCCCTTTGATAAATTTTTTATCTCTCACTGGCCTTTGAAATATTCAAATTGCATAGTTTAAGAACTTCTGGCCATTTTAAATATAATTAAGTTCAGCCGGAGTTGAAGGGCATTTTTGTCTAACTTTAATCAAAAGCGTTGGAAACCTATAAGGCTATAACAAGTATTGAGAGTAGGAGTAGAAACCCTAAGAAGAGCAAACCTTTCATTTTCCTTAAACTCTTTGTTAGGTTTCTTTACAAAATTTCTAAATTCATTGATTTCATACCTGGGTAGTCAAAGTTTCATCAAATTTTTCATGGCCCTCTTAAGTATAAAGCCAATGAATTTGAGAATTTTGTGGAGAAATTTAACGAAGAGTTTAAGAAAAATGAATAGTTTTCTCTTCTCAAGACTTTTACTCCTGCCCTCGATGCATTTGATTAAGTTTTCGATGCTATTGATTAATATTGGACAAAAATGCTCTCTAATTCCGATTAGACTTATGTCTAAAATAGTCAGAAGTTCTTAAACTATGCACTTTTGATTGTTTAGGGACAAACCAAAAACAAAAAAAAATATATCAGGGGCCCAAAGTAGACAACTATGATAGTTTAGAAGCTCCCCGGATTTTTCACTCAAATGCTTGCTGATTTTGCCCTTCACACTACATCCTTTAGGAGAGCTCTATTGTTCCTTTTGAGTAGTATAGCGATAAGATTAAATTCACCATCCGATGAGATTAAATTCACCATTAGATATATAAAATAAGAGTTATCAACTCTTAAATTATTTCAAAAGTTTAAATCATCTAATAATCTAATAATGTGACAAGATATAATTAAATTAAAATCATGAATATCTTGTGATAAGAGGTAAGTAGATTAGAATTAGGAGTGTCCTATCGGACTGTAATATTTTTTCATCCTTTGAGCCAAAAAAAAAAGAAAAAACTAGTCAACGAAACAGTTGCAGAATTTAAGACCACCGCTCGCCGTTTCGTGCGAAACCTGACGGCACAGGAAACTCTCAAAGGTCCAAACCATTCAAGCGCCAAGCATTCAAGACTTGCCCTATCCAGATAAAGATGATTCACGAGAATCAAGACACTGCCCAGACGTACAAAGATAGAACAAGTTTCTCGTACCGATAGCCTACCTCTAGGGCTTAATTTTTTTTTTTTTTTTAAAAAAAATATATATATATCTGAAACGGTAATTTTTTATAAGTAAATATTATATATATGGACAAATATACATTATTATCGTTAAATTTAAATTTAAATTTTACATAATTATCATTTATCTAAATCTGATAGCGTACACATTATCAATATAAAAAATATTAATCAATTTCTATGCATTATTAATATATACACTAACAAGAGTGTTGGATGTATGTCATATAATTTAACTTCAAATTTAAAATTCAATTTATGACATATATTCATAATTGTTAGTGTAAAAAACTATCACATTCCACTGCAATTAATTAATGTAAACAAATTTTACACTGACAGTGTATAAAGTATAAATAATTAATCCAAACTCGGTATATGCTCGGTCTACCCTACCCAAACACTCCCAATATTATCAATTTATCATCCCATCTAAGTCTTTATTAAATCAGCAATTCTTGATTCCTTGAACTTGTGATGCAAAAAAGAAAGGCAAATTCATCCAAACTGATTCATCATAAACAAAAAAGACAAGAAAATAAAAGAAAACCCACTCGGGATATCTACAGAATCTACACGAAAAACTCCACCTAGTCAACTGATTTTACAACCAAACGTGCAACAACTTCATTTAGAGTACACTAGCTAGACTGGCTCAGCAAGAAGCCAAACCCTGATGACTCTTATCATATCCGTGAGGGAAATAAGGCCATAAAGTAAACCTTGCCCATCTACCACTCAAACTCGATGGACGGCATAGGTAACAGCTTTGTCAACAGCTTCACCTAGAAGTGATTCCGGTGTGCAAACCACAGGGTCCCTTGTTGAGCTTCTCAAGCAAGCTGCTTGGTGCAATGGGGTGTCTGCAAGTTTCTCCAGGAATTCCACCACCCCCATTTTGAGGCAAGACTGGAACTGAGAAATGGGACAACCTCTCAAATCTGTTGCAGAAAATGTGCCCACAAGCTTCCTACCTTTCCCCTACAATTCATCTGAAGAATTAAGTTGCATTTGATTTTGGGTTAGATAAAAAAACGCAAGGCATCTTATGAAGAGATAAACTCATTCTCACTACAGTCATTCGAGAGATACATACTCAAAATATCTAATGAGCACTACCAAGATTGTGACACCAACAAAAAGATGGTTTAGCGCGAATTAGAAGCACCACTAAAGGAAAAATAATTTGTAACGCCAAAAGTATTAACCTCCTATGAGACGACAAATACTATGGCACCAAGGACAAAACATCAAGAGCATGAAAAAAAAAAAGAAGCTTAGCTAGCCGGTAACCAATGAAGTTACTATGTGCAGCAAGATCGCATCATCATGGGAGTATCGCATAGTCAAATCAAACCCTTCAAATTATCAAGTAACAAGTTAGTTCACGAGAATATACATTGATAAGCTGAGAATGGTCCTCCTCGATTTCGCTTGACGATTGAACAATTGGTACGGCTGTGAGGGAAGCTGTTCTCATGCACTTGATGACATCGATGACTTTGGCCTTGTCCGTAACACCAAAGATGATGTCCGAGACTGCTCCAGCTTCTCTGACCCTATGAGAAAGGATACCTCTAAGGGCGGCCTCGTGTGCCTTCAAGAACTTCAAAAGATCCATCTGTGTCAGCATTCGATAGCTGGATGCAGACTCCACAAGCTCTACTCCTGCTACATTCTCGATGTGGCTGTCTATTGGTACTAATGCCCGGTGTATCCCTTTGCTAAACACTTCCATGCAGTCCAGCATGCTACAATTTATACACGAAATTTAAGTGGTTTCACAAGTGCAAGAAAGAATTTCTGTTTACATACATGACACTACTCTCAAAACACACTCCTAGTTGTGCAACATGTGACAAACTTCAACGATATGAATGAAGTTTAAAAATTAGTCCTAGCAAGCAACTTCCCAGAGCTAGCAACGTCGGCTTTGAACTATTCATTGGCCAAAATTATTAACAAAAACTTTAATAGCAAATGGTTATACTTAGAGTAGACAAAAATTTCAAGTATGATCACTAATCTTACAATAAATTAAAAGGTGTGCCAATTAACATCAAAATTAGTACACCAAAAAAATAACATAAAAAAATGCATCATAGTTACCTGGTAGTAGGGTTGAGAGTCCACAAACTAAGGCTTTCAAGGCAATGACCTATTATAGAAGAAACAGGAATAGACATCTTCTTAGCAAGATCATCAACTTCATTCCCAGCTTCAACATCATCCCTTCCAGCAATATGTGCCAAGATATCCAACATGGTTACCATCCCAATATAATGCTTCCTCACTGCACCCGTCTGCTTATCAGACTCCAATATCATGGAACCTCCTGCTCCAATCCAGTGTCCCGGGGAGAAATTTCTAAAATTATGATGATTTTTAAAAAAATTCTACAAAGGGAGTATTTTGTGTATGGTTGTCTGTTTTTGAGGTCTTCGCATTCAGCAAATGTGAGTTTTTTGAGCTCGCATTTGCTAAATGCGAAGTCTCCCTAAATTATTCTACCACCGAAATTAAAAACAAAAAAAAAACAAAAAACAAAAGCAGACCTCGCATTTCATAAATGCGAGGTAAGTAACCCCCAGCAATGACCAAAGAAGCTTCCTTGTCCAGTGAGCGAGCAAGCTGCAATTTTACACTTATGATTATTGCTCAAACAATAATCATAAGTAACAAGCCGTGCGTGCTTCATCATGCGAGTGATAAAACTAGTGAACAAGTATTCACTATGTACCATCTTAAGGTTCTTTCCAACATTGGCTTCTAGATTTTGCCTAAAAAATTTTTGTTTTTGCTTCAATTGTAATGCCATTTTCCCTTGCTTTATTATTTCACTGCAAATTATAAAATGATTTACAATTTGCAATGCAAATTTCTACAAATTTTACTACTTAAGGCTCTAAATTCATCACAACTGGGAAAAAAAAGATCCTTTAATATTGACATCAATAGTTGATAATAATTTGGGGCAATAAATCGTAACCAAACTAGCAAGCTTTTTGGTTGGATTGTATGCATCCGATAAATACGAATTCCTAGAAAATTGCATCAAAAAATTTCAATATTTTTTAAATTACTTTTTTAATTTGTTTATTTGTTAAATTCATTCTTAATAATTTATCATAAACTCTTTGTTATTAAAAAATATATGTAGCTGATGTTGTAAAGTGTATTAATGTAGTAAGTCAACAATTTTTGTAAAGTGTATTAATCTAGTAATTCAATAATTTAAGTATCTATAAACTAATTGAGAATTCGTAGCTACTTAATTACTTATATTAAAAGTAACATATTATATACCACATAAAAAAGAAAAGTTAGCAATTATTATTTGCAGTGAAATTAAAAATAAGAATGAACAAGAATAGTATTTTATTTTTTTGTTATTGATACTACTAATAATTGATTAATCAATTTCTCAAATTTGCTATTATATATTGGAAAAGTTAAATTTCTTAAATGACATTGGCCTCCGTTGGATTAGCTGTTTTCGGGGTTGTTTTTCAAAAAGTAGCACTGTAGCATTTTATTTTTCAAATACAAGTCCGTTTGGATTAATTGTTTTTGGGGTTGTTTTTGAAAAACTATATAAAAAAATTTGTTGTAGATGTTTTTTGGATTATTTTGTTCACGTATTTCTAAAACATATTTTTGCGTATTTCTATAATTTATAATTTTTATATTTATATACATTTATCCATTTATAATACATTTATGAATATTTATAAATAAATATATTTATATATTTATATAAGAATATGTAAATGTATAAATGTATTATATTACATATAATACATAATATAAATATATTTATAAATGTATAATTAATATAAATGTATCTTATAGATTAAAAGATATACTTTCCTATAAATATAAAAATTATAATCACATAATAATCATTTTCAAATTAAATGAGAAAAAAATTCCCAAACCACATATATTTATTTCACTAGGATATTTGAAAAACATTTTATTTGTTTATTGTAATTTATTATGATTAAATATATATATATAAATTTTTTTTGAAAAAATTTTGATAGAGTCTCCTCTTAAAAGTGGACTAAACTCCCTATTAGCAAACCCAAAATAGACAACATTTAATCCAAGCAATATTTCCAACAACTTGTCAGCCAATAATCACAAACCACTGTAAAAGCACAAGTCTTTAGTAAATTAAAAAATAGAAAAAGTAAAATCAAGTTAAACATCCAACATTCCACAGATTAAGAACAAAATGCAAGCAAATCCATGCACAAATAATATAGTGATCCTAATGGTGCAGCTTCAATCGTCATCTTCATCTGCAGCTCCACCCTGAGGTGGAGTAATGCTTAAATGATCCTCGATACGTGCCAAGCGAGTGTCCATCCTCTGCAACTGGAAAAATAAATTAAAATTAGTAGCACAAGACTATGGTACAAGTAGAACTACCATTTTCAAAATTAGCCATACTCCACAAAAAAACCAATAATTGCAACATCTGAGTCAATGAAAATGAGAAACAAGTAGAACTACTCCAGAATGAAATAATACCTCTATCAGACCAGCATGAGATGATCTCGAACATTGTTGTTTAATATCATAACCCACTCACATTCAACAAGAGCAGATGCATTGATTTCCATGGTTCATGCAGTTGAATTCCAGCCCCAGCCCTTAACATGTTTAAGAGAATCCTTTTTACCATTTAATACATACATATCAGAGTTTGCAGGAAAGTGTGATGGATCCTAAAGCTAGCATGGATGGCATGAGGGTGCCAGTACTTCCAAGTACAGATGTCCCTAGTAGCAGTAAAAGTAGAAATTATACCAGAAGTTACTCAGATACCGTAGACTATGATAAAACACATAGCAGTCAAATGTGTAGACATTGTAATAGCATGATAGCCCAGCAACTAGGCAGATCCTCTGCTCCATTTCTGTAAAAAAAACTGGGCAACTTCATGAAGCCTATCAGACCAAATGCTTAAGGAAAACTTTAACTAAGTCCAAACCTATAAACCAATTAAGCAATTTACACATATCAACAGTCCTAACATATACTGCAATCACCACATGCGACAACTAATATCTTTGAGGCAGGGTGTTTTAGACTAAAAAAAACTAAGAAAGCCAGGACAAAGTTTCTTTGCAGCTTCGGCATGGCTTCTTAAAGATTTTATTTTTTTGGTAGGCTAGCTAGCTACTTAGAACTTGGCATTAACTAGCTATGGTTCTTAGATTGCTGTTTTTTCTTTTTTTTCTCTTTCATGTTTCTGCAATGCAATATTGATTGCTGCTTTTCCTTTTTTTCTCTTTCATGTTTCTGCAGTACAATATTGATCCACGTTAATCCCATGCTGCCTCCACATGAAAGCAATAGCTAACTGCTAACCTCCAGCAAAATTAATCAAAATAAAAGAAAAAGTATGTGGATGCAGCCGCAACAGTCCTCAAACAGGAGACCAAATGCATCAACAAATTACACCAACGGCCACGAATAAGAGACAAACCGAAAAATTGCCAAATCAGAAAAGCAAATACAACAAGCCGAAACAACAACAACGCCCAATAAATTGCCAAATCAGAAAAGCCAATTCAATTCAGAAAAGAAAAACCCCAGAAAAATAAAAGAAAATCAGAAAAAAAAAAATTCATACCCTTATGCTGTTTCTAAGTAACAGAGCACAGTCACGAATTTGAAAGCCATTTGCCAAGTGAAAAGAAAATGTGCAGTGCAAATGGGACACAAAATTGGTTGGGGAGTCCTGTTGTGGTTGTAAAAGTGACAAATTGGGAGGGGGGAGAGAGGCGCAACTGCCTAGCAGAGATGGGTTCCGAAGAAGGGTCCAAGCTCTACAATGGCCAAGATCTTCCGACGCTTCCGACGAGAAAGCTGTGCCCAGATTTCGCCTGATGAGAACGGCTACAGCTCTACAAAAGAGAAGAGCTTCCGACGAGAAGGCCGCAAGATTCCGACGACCAAGCTGTGACCAAGATTTCGCCTGACGAGAAAGATGGAAGCTCAACAAAAGAGGAGAGAGTGAGGAGTGAGCTGGATGGAGAGAGTGAAGAGAGAGTGAGACAGATTTGAATGGCGATTGGGAGCTCTGGCTTTGTGCTCAGACTGAGTAGAATGCGAGCTTATTTTTCTTTTTTTCGTAAAAGACTGACCTCGCATTTGTGAAATGCGAAGTATCTGAACTCGCATTTCACAAATGCGAAGATCACACTTTTGGAATTAACTTCAAAAATCACACCTCTTGTAGAATAACTTTATTTTTTCATCACAACTTAAGAATTTACTCGTGTCCCGGGGGTGCAGCCACCGGCACTGCCACTACCCGGTTAGCCATCAGGGCGTTCATGGTGTCAGCCAGCGACGCTGTGTACGGAACCTCTACTGATCTTTTCTTGTCAACTATGAGATCTTTGACTTTCTTGTCCCCAAAACTTTGAGGCTGAGGCTCGGCACCAGTGTCCTGTGGGTTGATCTCCGTCTTCTCCCTTGCCAGCTGCATTGTTCTTGGGTTCTATTCTTCTTTTCTTGCTTTTGTCCAGATTTTAGAAACGAGTTCTTTGCTATAACATCACTGAAGAAGGTGCGTGGGACTGGGATTACACATATAATTGTGGATACGGGATTTTATACGGGGAACAGAGGTACACGTGTTGATGGCGGAGGGTACATGAGCGTCCTGTGTTTGCAACGTGGTTCCTAGAGATTCTGGACGCTACAGCGGTGCGGAACTTCTGTCTTTAGCCATATCCATATTGGTAGGCTAGCGTCAAGTGCTCGGACTTTTGAATGGGTGCGAGTGTTGTTAATGTTAGGCCCATCAACGGTCCGGGTCTAGACTCAGACCCGGATCGAATACATCAAATTATTCCGGATACGGGTAGGGATTTAATTTTATTATCGGGATCCAGACCCGGATCCGTTTTATCAAACAAAAAAAGGGTCAGATATAAAATATAGAATTATGACCCGGATCCAGATATAAATAAATTAATAATTTAAAAAATATATATATATCAATATAATTTGATTAGGGTGATGTATTTGAGTAAGGTCAATTTGATTTCTTTTCTTATTTGGTTTTTTTTTATTAGTTAGAAATTAGTTTACAAATATTTTTTTCTCATTTTTGTTGTAGAAAATTGTGAAACTTGAAATGATGTATTTGATATTTAATATTTGAATGGACCTTTTAGAAGTTGTAATTTGTTGGATTTCATATTGACTTTGTCGTTTTGGAATGACTTTTGTAGATAGATTTGTGGTTCACTTTGAAATGACTATTATTGTGAGGGATTTGTGATTTAACTTTGTAATTTGTGACTTAAATTTGTGA